TTTTTACCGTAGAACAACTGAGTTGCGAGACTTGGTTTTTTTGACAAGTATTGTTTTTGATGGGATTTCTGTTTACTTGATATGTAAAATTTTGATAACGCAAACAAATCGACGTGTTTAATGTTATAAGACCGCATTTTGTTTAAAACAACCTCAATTTTAAGGTCTAGAGGCATTTGAATCATGTAGGCCTTATTCCGTGTAGGTGATTTAAAATAAAGCCAAAATCAGTGGTTTCGTAATTTGTTTATTTTGAATAGATTTAGTTAAAAATTGTGTTATTTTTTGTAATATTGCTAAAATTAAAGGATGGAAATGGAAGAAGATAATTAACCTTGTTTTTGTTAATTAGCGTTAATATTTATTGAATTATAAGCATTTAAAGTTAGGTAGGCCTTATTTGTATCAACTACCTTATGTACAATTGTATGTGAATTTAATAAGTCACAACACAGTACCATATTTCATAATTATTATATACTGATACATATTACCAGAGATATGATAGAGTTGCACTTGTGTTTGAAATTCAAAAGTGTTTGAAATTCAAAGTCAGGTATTCGGATCTTGAGCGCTCGGTCAATGAGTTGCGATTGCTTTGAGAATCGTTAATTTAAAATGTAAACTCTCTTGTAATTTGTCGCTCTGGGTCTACCTTTGTCGTACCTGTTTGCAAATAATATACATAAACATCATCAAACATTCCGAGCATTCCCTCTGCGCTCAAGATCTGTGCCGGGGACTTTATCTCAGGCAACATTCGTTGTGGTGTGAATTCATTTCGGTGTGAATCCCCTTAATATGGGCTATTCCAACATTAATAACAACAACATACCCAATTATTTCTTTATGATGTTCAATGCATTCTGCCAATTTAAAACGCACTTCTTTGCTTTCTTCTGCGTCAAACATTTCGGATGTGATGCTCTCGTTTATTTTGTATTTTAAAATATCCCCTAATTTGAAAACCACTTTATTTTTAGGCCACTGAAAGTTCTCAAGGTTGTATCTCAGGATGTACACGTGCCCGGTTATTTGAAAAATTATTAAAAACAATATTAGATCTAGCCCAGACACCATCATAGCGCAATTGTACGACAGATAGAAATTGTATATCGAAGTAGTCGTGAAGTAATCGGTCGGGTCAATTCCGGGATATTGGTAATAAAAAGAAAATTCCAAAGTGTAATTTTCAGTTTTAAAAATAAAAACGTTTGCAACGTTATTACAGAATGGTGCAAAGTTAAACATTGAGCACGAAAGAAACATTAATCCTAACGAAAATTTTGTATAATATGAACAAACTTTGTCGACAGTATCGTTCATCTGGAAAAAGAACAAACATTAATTATATGATTGACTATATGGATTTCATTACTTAGTTAGATCGGTTAGTATCGGTAAACATCGCAACTTCTTGTAAGCTACTGATCATTATAATATCAGATTCAACTTCAAGAATTACGTAAATTCATATTCAATGCAAGTTATATTCTGTTCAAAGTATTCTTGGTACCTATGTTCCGATTCCGATAAGTAGGTAGCTAATTATTCACCTGATTGTAATATGGTCCTTTATTTGTGGAATGCATCAAATGCATCACATTTATAAATTTTAGCAGCAACTTATGATAGTTCTGCAATTGTGGTAGTATACTACGGACCTGTGAACGTAATATTTTTAGGTTGGCTCTCCACACACATAAATCAATATAGGTATTAATAAAAACCATTCTCTATCCGAGAACAAAGACACTTACCGCTGTTAGTATTCCTAAAAGGGTTGTTATAATCGCATGTCCCAAATCGAGAAAACTTAACTCATGCATGTGCATCCATATGTAGTAAAGCTCCCCGAAGACAATGAGACTCATGTGGTACGGCAGAGTCACCCTATGCACTATCGCGACCACCGATATCTTCTCTCCGAATATTTCCGCCGGCCATACGCCCGGAGCGACCATAACGGTTCTAATACTTTTAAAGTATTTCAGTGCTAACGGACTTTTTGCCCTGAAAAAACTTGCCGTTTTAAGGTTTTTAATATTTATTATACTACCTACTCACTACGCAGAATCAAAGTCGATTAATAAAAGACACAACAAATAGGTAAGTTGATTTCATTTCTTTTTCAAACTAAAGTCCTCCACTGCTAGACAAAGATCCTTCCCAGGAGTAACCACGGTCCTACGCTAACTGCATTCAGGCGCTTCCCGCATTCTTCCCGTTGGTCCACCAAGGGGAAGACCTGCTTATGTCTTCCTAGCTCGTAGACCGGGTGGCCGTTCAGGTAATAAACGATTAGATGTACATAGAAATACTTCACCAATGTTTTCTGCAATACATACCTTCTGAATAACATTGCAAAGAATTGCCTACAGGGATTCAACAAAGAAATTGAAAAATTCCATAAACTACTACAACAACTGAATAAAGAACTATGAATGGCGTGCTTGTTTGTCAATTTTAATTAAGTCAGTTGTATTATCTTTATTGCAGTTAATTGAATTGATGAAGAACGATTCAGTAGATTTTTGCAAAATAATTATAACGTCAAAATATTAATCACTATGAAAAAGCAGGAAAAAACCCGCTGAACATGTTTCGTTCGTTCGTACTTTTTTGTCAAATGACGTCCAGCAGTGACTGGACAAAGGCCTCGGGTCTCCCCCAAGGATTTCCACAACGACCGATGGAGCACTGCCCGCATCCTGGTTCTTCCAGCCTTCACTAGATCGTCAGTCCACCTAGTGGGGGGCCTATACCCACGTCTTCCGGCCCGTGGTCGCCACTCGAGAACTTTTCTGCCCCAATGACCATCATCTCTACGAGCTATGTGCCCCGACCACTGCCACTTGATTTTAGCAATTGAACATTATATTAAGTAATAATGATTCAGTATCACACTCGCTTTTTGGCCAGACTTCACCTACTTAGACATTCAGTGAGGACTCTCCTTGACGGTAAAATAACTGAACTAGAAACTTTAGGGACAAGTCGCACGCTTGCTCTAAGGATTGTACAAGCAAACCCACTGTTCATCATTTTAATGCAGATTAGTATAACCCGCACGAGTAGGTAATATTCTCAATTTAATAATAATTGTCCTGTCAAATCATAAATGTAATCATTCCGATAGAATCATCGTATTATGAGAAAATTGCACGTGCAAATTAAATTCACAGCAAGTTAATTGTGTTGTTATTAACGGTTGGATATTTTCACGTAGCGTAGGTACAGTCAACAACGAATCAGATACACATTAATTAATTGTTGCAAAGTAGCACCTATGACGATTGCATAAGATACCGTAGTGGTTGTGTTGTTTTGATAACTTTTCATTGATGTACAATTTTGATAACATTTCGTTGTGATTGAATTAAGCCCGTGTTTGACCTCAATCTCATCGGATGTTAAAATTATTGCTACATCATTTGTCATTCACTAAGTAAAATAGACATTTTAGGCATATTTAGGCGTTAGAAGCTCCTCTTGATGGCTGTGCCTAACAAAAAAAAAATGCCTAAAATAATAAGTTACTTGACTTACTTATGGTCCTACGTCCCCTAGATGGGGCAGAGGGCGTCCACAACAGTCCTCCATCTCGTTCGGTCTTGAGCTTCTCGCTTGATCTCGCTCCAGGTCTTGCCGATCTTCTTCGCCTCGTCCGCTACAGTGCGCCGCCAAGTTTGCCTGGGTCGACCACGTTTGCGTTTTCCTTGGGGATTCCAATCCAGAGCCTGCTTAGGGATGTGATCGGGGTCCCTTCGGAGAGTGTGGCCAATCCAGTTCCACTTGCGGCGCTTGATCTGCTGGTCGATCGGAATTTCGTGGCAGCGTTCCAATAGCTCGACGTTGGAGATTTTCTCGGGCCAGTATATGCCGAGAATTTGGCGAAGGCAGCGGTATAACCTTGGTGACCTTCCACGTTTCACACCCATAGCGGATTTAACGTTGGACCCGAATATTTTGATCTTGACCCTTCGGGTCAATTTCCGTGACTGCCATATGGGACGAAGTTGTGCGAAGGTAGCTCTGGCCTTGGCAATGCTGGAAGTGATGTCCTCTTCGGTACCTCCAGTTTCTGACACGACCCGAGGTAGGTGAAATTGTGGACTCGTGCCACATCCTCTGCACCAATCCGTAATGGCGTGCAATTTCTCACACCAGATCGCATCTCTTGGGTCTTCCNATGGCCTTCAGTTATAGGTCGATGATTTTCGGCGGGACACCAATGTCAGCAAGTCGCGACCATATACTTGCCCACTTCAGCGTATCAAAGGCTTTTTCAAAGTCTACAAAGGTTAGGTAGACTTCCCTTTGCCATTCTGATGCCTGCTCCAAAATGATACGCAAAGTATTGATCTGGTCGGTACACGAGCGGTTCGGGCGGAAGCCAGCCTGTTCCCTACGCAAAAGAGGTTATAATAAGTTAAGGCCATTCTAATTATACTAATTACGTATTCACACTAAAGACTTAATAACCAACTTTTTCTAACAACGCCATCTGCTGGCGAAGGTGCAAACAGATATACTTTTTTTATTCTGTCCAACTTTCTAGATTAGTCCAGTCAATAAAGCATTATACTTAGAGGGAAATGCGTGAAACACAATTTCTGACTTCGTGACTTTATTTAGACTAGTTAAGAGATGAACATATTATCAAAAGTCTTATCTCGCAAGTCTCAATACATGAGCCTTTGAAGTGTGCACTGCATTTTTTGAGTGATGAGGGGTCAAAAGTGGCTTCAAGTGGTTCGTCTAAATATACGCACGATGCAGTACCTTCCCTGGAACTGGGCTTAAAATGCACCCGCATATCTAGAATGTGTGCTCAATGTTGATTTAGTCGATTTCCTAATGATGGGAACATGTTAGAGGGCGTCCGGTGTGCATCCGGGTGGGGTTTCATTTGTAGTTCGGGTTTTTAAAAATTTCGTTCTTACGCCGAAGCCGGTCGACGCGACTAAGCTAAGACAGGTTTTTTTCTGTCACATGTCTATGCTCTGGACTCTAAAATCCGTGGTTTTCACGCGTCCTGTCCTGGTTGCCAAATTTTAGAGATGGTATCCCTCGCAACTCATATGTTGAGAATCACTGGTTTAATCAATACTTTGCCTTAGTGCCTGTTCTTTGCGCATGTCTGCTCAGTGGAGACCCCGAAATGCGGCATTTAGAAGCAACTTCATCGAAAATTGATTGATAATTTTGATTTTTTTCTATTAATTAATTGTTAGAAAGTTAGAAGGTTATTCCTAAGGTCTATTGTTATAACGTATTTCAATAAGCATTCGTGATAGTATTAAATCCAGTCAACCACACTTTTTGAATAAAATTTGCAAGCACGGAAAATAGTATTTCAACTATTTTCACGCGTACGAAGTTGATTTGGTGGCGTCGAACCTTGGACCAGGCATATGGCTAAGCAATGCAATCGTACAGGCGGGTACAAGGAAGAGGGGCAGCCACATTAAGTAACACAGAGTCGTTCAGGAGAGTGTCAGGAAGAGGGGTAGCAACCGCAGTTAAGGAACGGCTGGGACGAACATGGATAAGCGAATCCAACTCGTGAGCCTTGACAGGGATACGCTGGTTAAGGCGACCCTTTACAAGGCTTGGGAGCCTACGGGTGACGAGCTATTGGACATGGAGAGGGTCATTAATTATACACATATTTTCTACTTTGCCGAACATTTGCACGAGAACGGTTTGTTCAAAACATATACATTTGGTCTTATTTAATGCAGGATTAAATGCCTTTCAACCGTTAGGAAGACCACTTTTCGATAGGGTAAGTCATTTAAGCGGTATAACCGGAAAACCGAAAAAGCGCCCCTTTTGGGGGCCCCCACCACTTAAGCACAACTCCGTTGAAGTCGAAAACCTAGGAGAATCTTTATGGGCAACTAATGAAGCCATTAAAGCACAAAAATCTTTAGTAGGAATTATTTCCGATTTAATTCATTTTTGTGTTTAATTCTACTGGCCTATACTTACATGAAGAAAAAAAACAATATTCTACTTTCTTATAATATTCTATCTATCTCTAATTAATTCCGTGCTTCTAACGGTGAGTTGGCAATGCTAAATTGAACCGTTTGAGCCATCCTGTGGGCTAATTCAAATGCATTTGTCGAGAGTAGAAATCGTCTGTCAAATAATNTAGCCGTTTACCTTAAATGACAAATAGAATAGATTGAAATGACAGATTGCACTTGAATTACCCTACTGGAAGAGTAATATTATATCTTTATGCAAAAGAGATGACTGAGTCCCGCTGTCTCCAGAAAACGGTCGTAGAATATTCCTAGGTACTTTTTGCGCAGAACACACGCTAATATAATTATACCACAGCTACGACCTACGATTGGCTACGGCTACGAATGGCTACGAACTACTACGATCGAGCAAACCAGCTACGACTGCTGCGGGAAAATTTTCTTGCCACTAGGCAAGATTTTTCCGTATGAAACGATCGTTATTAGTGTTTTTCAGGAATCTTTCAAGACTCATCTTTTGTAGTTAGTTCTTGCTGCGATCTTGCCTATTTTTACAAGCTTTATATTGACTTCACTTGTTAGTATGTGTGGGACAAAACTTGCAACTGAATTTAAGACCAGTTCTCCTCAACCGATTGAGCTGAAATTTGGTATACTTATGTAATTACGATGACAATACAATGTTATGGTACCATTGAGCTGGTCTGATGATGGAGTCAGGAGGTGGCCATAGGAACCCCTAAACGAAACAGCGGAAACTTATTGAGTTTGGGTTCGTTGGATTCCACTTCTCGAGCACTTTGGTGCTAAATGATGACCAGGGCCCAGAGATTGAGATACAACTGAAAAGTGTAAAATAAAATTAATAAAAAAATAACTTTTTTAAAAACAAGCTTTATTTCGAAAGCTTGTAGCGCAAACAGAAAAAAAGAGGAATAAATTCCATGCGCGATACAAGCTTTCGAAATAAAGTTTGTTTTTAAAAAAGTTATTTTTTTATTAATTTTATTTTTCCTTCTTTAATGCCTCGCTGATTTTTTTTGTATATTTTATTGGTAGATAGGTTACATTAGACTAATTTAGTCGATTTCATAGTTGTAATACCGTAGGAACATAATATCATACGACCAACTTAAACGTAAAACGTTACGTAACGTAAAAAAAACGTAGTACCGTACCATAAGCTAAGTAATAATATAATTTCAGCTCTTTCAAAGTTTAAAGACATTGATATTAATAGGTTGATACCTGTACAGTAACATAATTTTACTAAAAATGATTGCTTGTTGCTAGTAAACTAAGAAACTAACGGAAAGTGTTTTATTAATACAAAATAAAATGCCAACAACGTTCTGATGCTTCTCTAATAATTACCTATGTCAGACGTTAGTTATTATGTGTAGTGATTATTTAAGAGTGACTGGTTTTTACTACTCGTAGAATTAATTATAATTATTAATTAAGTTTAATCATCAGTAGCAAATGTCCGCAGCATAACAAAGTATGACAGCGACGTTTTTATTATCTGAAAAAAAAGGAAAAAGTAATTTAGTGTCTTTAGTTTAAACCTATCTTGAAAATCGAGGCTTAAAAAGTTGGATTAAGAAAGTAAGTACACATAAATAACTTGGATATTTTTGTATTTGTATGGATTATTATAATGAAACGATTAATTTACAAACGATGCTTGCTTAAGTGAAGCACTGTGAGACCTCATAGTAATGTCTGTGAATACGGGCGTAAGTACTTAGCTAAGTTAATTTTTGATGCGTAGTTACATTTTAAATCCCGTGGTCATCAATCCACAAAGTTTTTGGATTAAACACAATTTCTAAGTTAAATGCTGCCCTTTTGGGGTAATCCTTACAGCAATCATGGTCCTCGAGCCGATGTCCACCATGTTCAGCGCCCTGGTGTTCAGCGAGACCTGAGACTGTCTCAGCATGATGTGGACTGTCCTCCGATGGCGGACCTCCATGTATTCCCATGGCAATTCGTACACAGCGTTCATCAGGCTTTCAGTCTGAAATTCAAAGGTTGCTTTGACTTGTGGACACCTTCTTACACCCATGGTTCTTTCTCCCTTCCAGCAGTGAGTGGTCCAGCAAATCTTTAAACTACTGGCCACACCATGACCACCTTACCCATTGTTTTGCTTTCCTCACGAGATAGTACAAACCGAATTAGAAGAGAGCACTCGAGACTTTTTCTCCATTGCCTCTTAAAGTATAGCACTTCGCGCCCTACAAACCTTTTTAGTGTCAATCCGTACTCACAGTGATAGGGAAAGTTTAAAAGGGAATCTAGACACGCAGTCGCGTGTCCAGCCAAGTTCAAGTACCAATATTAGCATGAGTAACAGAAAAAAAATATTGGATTTATTTCTTCAGCTTTGTTAGTTACATTATAATACCAAAATACTCACTATTGATCCTAGCAGTTCGAAGACTAAGGACACTTGGATTAGTAGTTGAAATGTGATTGCAGTCAGGGGTCCATAGCGGATCAAAGCGCTTAGTTCCTAAAACATTTAAGTGTAACGTTAATTAGTAAAGTAGGTGCATATGTTATAAGTAGTGTAAAATCATTTTTTCAGAGCTATAAGAGACTACTGGCAATGTTTTTAAACTGAGATTTAGGTGAATAATAGGTGATTACCAGCGTAGAACATTCCAGTAGCAGAATACAACCGCAGACCTGATGATAGCACAGGTACACGAACAACGATAGTCCAAATGTATCGGAAATCCTTGCAATGAAACTAAAACGTACCACACATAAAATTTACTATCATTAAAACAATTAATACAAAAGAAAATCGGCTATTCTTACTCTATAATTAGATTATGATGTTGAACCAGCTTCTTCAATCGTTCGTAAATTTGCTTCGATTCTTCTTCTGTATAATCATTTTGTTCTTCATTTATGGCTCCAATCGGACGAGGAAAGGTTTCCAGGTTGTGAATAAGAATATTTAGATGTCCCCAAATGTGAAACACCAGATGATACACGAACAGATCGAATGTGCAGTAGTTAATGGAGCAAACGAGGGATATGTACCAGTTGAAGACGACGATGATGGCGTAACCTATGGGGTCGGTGGTGTCGTTGAAAGGCCATAGGAAATACACCGCATGTTCCATGGTAGCGTTACTTACCCCACTAAACGCACCAGTTTCGCGGTTAAATTTCCCACTGATGTAGTTACTATACATAGGTATAAGGTTGAACATTAAAATGCCCAATGTCATGAAGGCGTGAATGAAAAATGTAAGAAAGTAACACAATTTGTTAATTTTTGTGTGCATCTGTAAAAAAAAAGTTGAAAATTGACACTATTTATTAAAAATTAACAAATGTTGTAGTATTGTTTACAATACTGAACAGCCTCTTACTGTACCTATCTAGCGAGTAAGATTAGATAAATGTCAATTAAGTAGATAAGATTAAATTAAATTACTTAGGCATGACTGACTGTTGAACTACTAAAATGACAAAGCATTAACCTTTTACCTTTTAGCAAAAGCTTAAAAGTAGCTTATATTTAAAAAAATCTGGACAATTTTTAATTTATATAATACAAGAATATTAACCTCCATAGCGTACTCGGAATCGTTCCTTACATTGAATAAATGTATTTTCCTCACGTATAAACTGAAGATCTCTTGATAGGCTTCTGTACAATAAGTTATGATTCGAGACTGAAATAGTTTATAAAACTTTAGATGGAATATAAAACTTGTAAAAATATGTGTGAGTGTCAAACCCGCGACTTCTACCACCACATTACATTTCACTTCAACCTGATTCTGTAGGGCAATATATTTTTGATACAAATCAGACACATAGTATCCATCCATCCATATTATATGATTAATCGTTATCCTAGGCTTTCATAACATATGAATACGAAAGTAACTGTCTGCTAACTTTTTAACCTTTAAACCACTGAAAAGATTTCGATGGATTTTGGTATCTCTAGCACTTGACACTGGGAAAGGCATAGGATCATGTTTACTCGTGTACTTTTGAAAGGCTAAACCACGTGTATACTCAAAGAATTCTGAAACATCAAGTGGCCTAAATCGGAACTAACAACTCACTATAAAGATAGCAGTCATGTCATAATTATTATATGGAACACTCCAGTGTTGTGCAACGTGACGAAAATCAGAACGAACATTCACTAATACAATCAGATTGGCACTACACTGGCGCTATTCAATATTATTCCCAATATTGATATTGATAGTGGCGCCCTCCTGTTTTAATATGATAGCTGAGACGGTTCACTGTTGGACAACTCTACCAGCTTTATTCTATACTCAACATCAAATAAATCGCACCTTCCGCGACGCGAACTTTAAAGATTTTCTTCTGACACAATCATGGTGCCCCATCAATATTGGTGTTATTTGAAAGCCCAATAAATATCCTTAAAGAAAAACTTATTTAATTTCTTAATAAATGATTAACATATACCATAAATGTGACGTGAAAAAATACCTCACTTTGGGCCCACCTCTGGGATCAATTAGACCAATTTTTATGGTTATAAAGCCAAATAATGATCTAACGTGTCCTCTTTAACAGATGGATAGCGATTAATCCCAACTTAACAGTTTTATATCCATAAAAGTTGGCTCAAGAGTAACTACCCATTTTCAACCGACTTCAAAAAAAGGAGGAGGTTCTCAATTCGACCCGTATGCTTTTTTTGAAGAAGAGACTCTGGATCCTTCTAAAGACACATTTTTGGGGTAAAAACCTTTCCTTTAATGAAAAGAAGGTTAGAACTAGCCTTTTAAATGGTGCCAATATTGGTGGGAAGTGGGGATGCATACGTTTGAAAATGCTTGTCGCGGGAGGTGCGATTTATTTGATGTCGAGTGTATATTTAACCACTATCCTATATCCTTTCCTGGGACTTAAACTATCTTGATACCAAATTTCATCAAAATCGATTCAGTGTTTTAGTAAAAGCGTAACAGACAGTTACTTTGCATTTGTAATTTTGCTAGGAATAGTAGCAAAAGAGTAATTATAACGGGTGTTTTTTAGAGTTATACCTACAACTTTAAATTGGTTACACTGTTTCTAGTGATAGTTAATTTGGTAGTTGATGGTACATTTGTGGACAGTATGTTTTGGCATTTCATAATTAAATAGAATTACTTCAGAACAACGCTTGCAAATTATGAAAAAAAAATATTTTAAAAAACATGGTTCATTGGTTGTTTCATCATGGTTTTCCATACAAACGTCCATATTACGGTCGACGTAATTTTCGTAACTTTTCATTCCTCAGATGAATGATATTAATGTGGCAGAGCTATGGTTTCAACAAGATGGTGTTAGCATCTAACCAGCACGCGACACATTCAATTTATTGCGGGAAACATTCGATGAGCGCATAATTTCAAGTGATGGATTTTTTAATTTGCAATGGATTATTTTCTCTGGGGATATGTGAAGTCCACTACTGCGCAGATAAACTACGGAATTCAATGCCAACATTCGTCGCGTTATTGCCGATGTATGGCCCCAGTTGTCCGAAAAAGAGATTGAAAATTTTACATCTCGATTACGCTACATTTGAGGCAACCGTGGCACCCTTAGGCCCGAAATCATTTTGAAACATAAACGCCATAAGAACATCTTTTAAACAAGACCACCACATGAATAAAATATATTTTTACATATTTTATTTCATTTTGAAGTTGTTTAAGTACCTACCTCTAAAAAACACCCTATATTACATAAATAATATTGCGTAACTAGCGGCCCTACTGTTTTACCCCCTTAGGGGTTGAATTTTGCAAAATCTCGTCTTAGTGAGCACCCACGTTCTAAAAGGAATCCCCATGCAAAATTTGAGACTCCTAGCACTTGTAGTTTCTGAGATTTTGTGTGATGAGTGAGTGAGTGAGTCACTCAGTCAGTCAGTGACCTTTCGCTTTTATAGATATATGTAGATACTCACCATAGACACAACGGACATGAGCACGGTAATATAACTATGGCCTAACTCGAAAAAGCTTAGTTTGTCCATGTTTTCACGCAGGTATAGGATCCCTGCTACTTGGCAAACCACGTTTAAAACCAGCTGTATGTATTTTACCACTACATCTGACGTAGTCTGTACATCGCCAATGAATTTGGATGGCCATGCGCCCACCACTCGGAAAGCTGAACGTATTATCACCATGTATTTTATTTCCAGAACTCTTGTCACGCCTCTGGAAGAAACAGAAATTAATGATGTAGGTACCAAAAACCAAAAAGGACCAACTTTATGTTCTAGCAAGTCTTATAGAACATTGTCGTAATTAAGTAAATAGATTTGATAATAAAACGCGAAAATGAAATATAAACAAATAAAAAGTTGGAAAATAATTAATTATCGATAATTGCACGAGAACATCCAAAGAGAAAACTATTGAGAATCAATACAAACAACAAAAACAAACAAAAACTTTGTAACCAGGTCGTATGGTCGCGACGCGTCCTATTTACTCTCCCAATATTTTGGTGTTTAGATATTGTTTTCACTGATTTATCTCAAGTTTTATGTACATTTCGTTGTGTTAAATTGACAATACATCAATATGCGGCTCTACACTCTCGTATTTTTTTTTTCAATAAAAAAATGTACAAAAGTAGTACTTAGTTGTCAAAAAGGTAAGTTATTTGTTTTAGGTAAATTTTTTGAGGGATTGTATTTCCTTACATAAGATCACTTCCATCAGTGATGAACATCATTGTAGACAGGAGACGATAAGTAAATTGTAGAGCCAACTGTAATAAGTGGTATATTCTTTGCGCTAAAAAGGAATGGGTGGATTAACACTTTATGTAGTGCTGAAATTCTTGGCATTAGATGTTGGTATTAACCCTACTGTGCCAATCTTCAAAAAAATTAACTCTTGGTAGGTAATTTATTTATTCAAGGGCAGTTTTGGATTAACTATTTTGTGTATTTCATCAACTGGGAAATGCGATGGAAATTAAGCGAAGCCTTTCCCGATATGTTCCACCTATACGCAGACCGTCTACTATGAGTGCAGACTGGAGTCTGCTTATAGGTGGAAGATGCATCTTGAAAAATGCTATCCTTTATTTTAGTTACAGAGTGGCGACTGTTTGATGCCCAGCACTGGGCTCCTCCAGTCATTCTGCCCACTCATCTAAGCGATCCTGCACACGACGCCGCTACCGCACCGCGCCTTTGCACTGCTCATACGCACCGAGTAAAACCGTCGCCACGCCGCACCGCGCCAACAAAGAACAATTTCGCGGCGCGGCGGCGGCGCGGCAGCGGTGTCCACATTTTTGGTGTCATACAATATTTTTTTACTATTTTGGTCCACAATTAAGAATATAGTCCCAGTTACTTAAAATTATTATGACTATTATTGTGATCATATAAATAAATAAATTTCTTATGTATGGTAGTAGAGCTTGGTTATACTACAGGGTTAAGGCGACACATAATTACAAGGAAAGCTATGACGAAAGACAGGTAAAAGGTCAAGAGTTTTCCCTGTAATTATCATCAAATGTCCCTTTTCAGTTTGGAAGGTGCACAGGTGCATATAACACTTCTTATAACATGTCTAGTAGGTAATCAAAGAACTGTTAGCTAGATGACGAGAGTTATAATTAGAGGCAGTAATAGTACTTTTTATTAATTTATTTCTTTTTTTGAATGCTGTACCTACAGCTTTGTTTACAATTTACATGTTACAGAAGAATGTAATCTAAATATACAGGGTATTAGGTAAATGGGTATATGAGCCGACACTAGCCCATGTTAACAAGGGCATATAAATGGTATGGTGAAGTCAGAAAATTGATATCTTCATTTAAATTATTTTAATTTTCATACAAATCAAGCTGAAGTGGCAGTGGGCAGGGCACATAGTACGCAGAACTGACGGCCGATGGGGCAGCAAGCTTCTAGAATGGAGGCCGCGTACCGGAAAGCGCAGCGTGGGACTTCCACCCACAAGGTGGACCGACGACCTGATAAAGGTAGCCGGAAGGCGCTGGATGCAGGCCGCTACCAACCGTGCGATGTGGAAGTAATTGGGGGAGGCCTTTGTTCAGCAGTGGACGACGGACGTCCTATGGCTGAAATGAATATAAATCAGGCTTAAAGGTGCGGAATTTAATGCAGTCTCATGAAAAATTAAAAAGCAAAATGGAGTGTAACGAACTCTATAGCTAGCAATTCGTAGATTAATTTACTAGTTGTAATTTTGGTTAATGTGCTATCATTTATCTTGTGATTCGGTCCTTAACTTAATTTACAATGCGGTATAAAGTTTCAAGAAACTATCGGTTAAGCATGTTGGACTTTTTAATGAGGTACAGTACTGTTGTAGAAAATTAAATAAAACTAGTATCTACGTTAATCTTTAAGACATAAGAAAGATATATCTTTTTGAATTATCCAAATCGGACCATTACTTACGAAGATATTAAGTAATAAACATAGGCCGTTTTTGCCGCTAAAAGTCAACGTACGCAGGGCCGCGTGACGTTACTATATCCGAATCGAGCGCAGCCGGCGCAGCGTACTATTGGGATGGAAAATATTTTTTTCCAGCTAACCTATCAGTTTTAGAAAACAACTTTTAATAACATTTATTCATCAAAATAAAGTAACCTATCGACCAGTAATTTTTAAAAATAAAAATTGTGAACAATAAGTATCGCTATGTCCCATACCTAGCTTATGCACTGGGGGGAGGGGCCCCAGCTTTTGGCCTGAGGGGAGGGGGGGATCAAATCATAACCAGTTTCTGGTTCTGGCCTAGTGGGGGCGTAAGTCATACCCAGCTTAAGCTTATGGGCTGGGGGGAGGGGCTAGCTTTACCCAGCTTCTGGCATGGGGGAGGGGGTCAAGTCATACCCAGTTTCTGGCCTGGGGGCGAATAGATAGGTAGGTACGTAGGTTTAACTCAGAAAAACTAAATAACAGGTAGGTATTGCGTGTACATCGAAATGATCTTCATAGCAATGTTTTGTAGCCTAGGCAGAGTGTATCTGCCTCAGCTATACCTTATTGTTAGAAGTAAATAAATTAATACTTATACATTTTTATATTTTACTTGGAAGATATGACTCTAACAACACTTATGAACACTTTATTTGAATAAATCGCCAAATATACCACCGCGGAGACCCCAATCGCGTCTCTGCGTTCCATTGAATCGTATGAGCGTATGGATTTTTTGCGTTATTTTTCACAATTTCTATTTTTAAAAATTACCTATCGATAGCTTACTTTATTCTGATGAATAAATGTCATTACAAGTTTTTCTCTAAAACTGATAGTTTGGCTAGAAAAAAATATTTTCTATCCACGCAGTACGCCGGCAGCGTTCGGTGTGCCTACCATGAGTTTACGTTAGGTGTGCTCGCTAGCGACTGCGTAAAAAAATGACATTTAAATGTATGACATATTGTGCAGCGCCCCTAGCGGCTACTTTCAAGAAATAAAATCTTCATAGAATTTTTTGACGTATTCGCTAGCGAGCTCACCTAACGTAAACTCATGGTAGGCACACTGATCGGATATAGTGACGTCATCGTCCCCGCGCCGGGCGGTCAGTGAACTTTTTTAGTAATTTGGCCATAACTTCGTCAATTTTTGGATTAAGGATTTCTTAGCCCTATAAATCTGCATTCACAGCTAAAAATCGAAATGATCCTCATTGGTTGTAGACTTTCCTACACACTTAGCTAGTGAACGCCAGACCTATGTTATTTTTTATAAAGCTGAAAGGTTGTCAGCGCATGCTCCCAACATAGGTAAGAAAGAACGTTGGTGTGCATCATGAAGTTTGGTTCATAGTGGCTTTGGCAGCTATCCTAAAATGATTGACTGGCAAGGAGTTGGAACCTAAATCTGTAATCGAATCCAATTATTGCAACTTATGTTGCAACCGTTTTATCGCCATGAACCTTTGAATTCGAATATATTGCATTTTTACTGACCATAAACGTACAAGTAGCGCTTTCACATTTTACTTGTCGTAAAGTCTACTTCACTGGTACGCGAAAATGAAACTAATTAATGCTTTACCTTTCTACTTCTTGGCCATATTTATTTATGTCATCTGCTTCGCCAATGCCGTAAGTTTATTTTATCTTAAACCACTCAAAGTCATATTAGTTTGGTATTTAATAAGGGCTTAGGAAATTAAGTTAGGATTAATTAATTTTGTTAATTTTAGGCACCATGCCGGAAAGCCAATCAACCACACCAATCGCTAAAAACGGTAGACTCAGCCCATAATAATATTTTAAAAGATTTAAAAGCTTTTCATACCATTTTTAAGGATACCATAAAGAAATTTAAGGCTGCATTTAAAGCTAAACATTGAAATATGTCTAAGTATTCATTCCATCAGACAGTCTGTAGCAGTACTTAGATACTCCTACAATTCTAGAAATACTCATATAAAGTTAAGATAACGTGGTTGACATCTTATTGAAAAAATATCGGGTTATAGTACCATCAAATAGTGGAAAGAGTCATAAAAGTAGGACCTACCAAATACAAAGATATTTGTAGAAACGATTTAAAAGATGAGAACAATGGCAGTGGCTTAAGAAAACATGTATGCCGTAACCTGTAACAGATTTATCCCATCAGATTTTCCTTTTCAGTGCACTGTGTGCGCGGCGCAGCGTCCTAAGAATAAGGACTCTCAATTTGTAAAAGTATACGTGCCTAGGAGAAAGTTCATACATCGGCTGGCAAACAGCACCTCTCCATACTAAAATTAAATGGCCTCAGATAAATACTTTGTTTAAACTACGCAATAAAAAACAAAATAAAACACATGTACAAATATCTTGATATCTTTGGAAAACACATAATAATTAAAGTATTGATCTGGCAGGCACAAGGGAACCTCCGAAAAAGCGACACATCAGTTGGAATGTTTACGACTTTGGCACCAGAGATTCAAAAGATTTTAGACCAACTAAAAGACCACAAAATTTTAAAAGAGAAATTGAAGTACAAAGAGCTCCTACAAAAGTTGAAAGAAGTGTTTCATACCACTTCGACCACCGTGTGTGCTAGATGCAGAGGAAAATAAAGTATTACTCATATAACTACCTACACTGTTTTCTTTATTTGGACATAGTACGTTTAATGCTTTAACAAACGTACCATGTATGCAAATCTATAGGGTGAGGTAGGTGAGGGGTACAGGGAGAAGGGCATTATGGGCGACTAGCCTCTACAACCTTATTTGTCTTGTCTTTCAGCTTTCAGAAAAGTATCAATTTAATGTTTAGAGTGGAGTAGTAAGTATATTAGCAATTAATGGTTTTTGGTAACAAGTCAGAAATTTCTACAATATCGAATAACTTAGTAACCATCCAGTTTTGACCCCTGGTTCACTGGACTTTTTTTTGTTGCTAATGACCTCTAGTATAATCCCTTTCAAGAAGTAGGCCGAGTTTCCCTGTCATCCTGTATATCCGTATATATGAAGCCGCGCGGCGAGCCGCTAGTAAAAAAATATTTTTTGTTGTCTGTGCTTTTATTTATTACATTTTTCTTGCTCAAAAAGGTTAAATATATTTTTCCTAGAGGAAAAACTTTTAAGTTTTTATGAAAATACTCGAATCCGTCAGTCATTCGTCTATTCTCTTTGCTATTCTCTATTCAGTCATCCGAAATCTTGACTGTCAATGTGCGGTGCAAAAAAAATTCAAAATTTCTCGTAAAAAATCGCAGTGAATCCAAATTAGAAAAATGTATTCGAACGACTTTCGCCCTTTTTATATACTGGTCAGAAAGGAGGAGGAGAAAGGCGACAAGTTCGCTCGGATGAACATGGAGCTGAAGCACCGCACAGTGTGTGAGCCCATCAACCCATTCATTCGGAAGACTGTGTTCACTCAGACCTACCCCACTCGCCTCATCCCCGCTGCTCCCAGGAAGGCTTGCTGTTACTACTGCTCTTAACCTTGCCGCGACTGATTACAATGCAAAGTCGTTCCTTAGAGTCTATGAGGAAACGAAAGAAGACAATCATCAATCTAGTTTGCATCGTATGGGCTAGATGCCTTGGAAACGTCCTTGGGACATCTATCAGACTGATATGCTGCCACAAAATGCCCACAAATGTCTACTTGTTCACGTTGCAAACATACCGTCATCTATCCAATTATTTATCCATAGAATTGACGAATCTGTCCCACACAGAAGTTGCTGAGAAAAGTAAAAAGATTTTAGAGATTCCTGACGAGTTGCCTCTTTGATAAAATAAATTTGGATTCATTTTGTTTTCATTGACTTTGTTTTATTTGTAACTAATCTTAGTCTCCTTTCGATTTTGTTTGATGCCTGATTAATGTTTTTTCATCATGTCATCATGAACTTTCGTATTTCTGTAACTCTTTCTTATCAAGTAGTAACTAAGGCCGTTTAGGCCGTCATCTTAAACGAGGACACTTATCGATACAAGATCAGTGAACTATTGAAAAATCTGACAAGATGAATTCTTCGTATTAATATTTGTACTAGAGTTGTACTAAACTTGTCGCCTGCTGAAAAATATCTATCTGCCAAGACGTCATCTCTCACTGTATCTCGTACTGTAAATAAAAAAATGAGTAAGTATAAAGTTGCTGTCCCACCAAAATGGTTTATTAGATTCACGAATATTAAGGATTGTTTCATTTTAATTGAACAGCTCAGCTTGCTTGTGGTTGGAAAGGATGGAAGAGCATGGTGAGCTGAATATTGCAGGTACTTACATATACCTACCGTTGCACATGTTCACGCTAGATGACTGATTAGAGAGGTCATAGCTGAACTACGGAATCGTAGTATGTGTTCGTGTATACTACAATATCACTGACACATCCATTGATTATGAAGTTTTTATCCAATCCATTGATTATGAAGTTAACTGTAGTAGCCATGAAAAGACACTAGCTGCGTAGATTAATTGATTTTGCTTCGCGGAATAATGACGTCACCTCATAATTCAGACGATTGAAATCACGCATTGTCCTGCTTTTATAGATCTTGCTATTTACTCTGTTTTCAATGTTTGCTTTGTGCGGATGTGTGGCGACTTCCTTATAAGTTAATTAAAACAATATTGCATAATAATGTGAAGAGTTATCTAGAATCTACATTAAAACACTTCAGATTTGTTTGCAATAGGATCTAGAGGTTACTACGCCCGCTTGTACCTACCTATGCTCCATTATCAGAGTTATCGCGTTATCACGAACGCTGCAGTTCTTAACCTACAAAGAACACAACCGATTTTTAATTGCTCTTTAAATGTTAAAACAATAACAGTGCAATGGACCAAATTGAATTGAGAGAGATTGAAAACACCGACCTCTTGGAAAGACCGAGTAAAACCAATGTGAGTATTTATAGTAATTTACAGTATTAATTAAAATAGTTTTTGGGATCTTTCTAATTTTAATTGCAGTTTTTTTAAGGGTCACATGACTTTCTTTTGATGTTTATGTGATAACGGTTTATCAATGAAAATATGAATCCTGTGATTTTTATTGGACAATATTGATAATGTTATCTTATGATAGTTAACACGTATACTTCGTTACGTCAAAAGGTATTATTACCTGTGGTATTACAACATTACAACCTATATCGAGTAGAAGTAAGGTTATTGTAGTTGTAGTTTAGTCATTAACATACGTTTTCCCAATTCCCGTGTTGAATGGGGCTATTAAGTTATAATAGGAGTTAGTTTGTACTAGAACGCTGTTTATAGCTTTCTCATGGTTATTAAATAGAATGATAACAAGTTATTGACTTGTATACCTACTTGACATCTCGTGTGAACAATAGGCAGGTATGACGTCGACTGATGATGATGATGATGATGCAATGTTACTTACTTGCTGCCTACCTCAGTTACAATTATTTTTTATTTTGCGTAAGTACTAAATACTGATTAGGTGATTACCTATTTAATAGTATATTATTTATGTGAACACTCATTTCGCATCAAATTGCAAAAGTTGCCACTATAAGTGGGATACAAAATGTAGGTATATTTACCAACGACAGCACATAAAGACATCCTATTTAGTTCGTTATAAGTGCGATATTACAGCAAAATATACCTAATACTGGCGGTCTTAATTCTGTATAATTAGAAAGAAATCTTATTAGACTCAGTGTAACCACTAGGTGACAAATAGGTTACATGATGCAACGATTTAAGATTATAAATAATATTCTATTCGTGTTTCCTCCCAGAAAATTTTATGATTCACTTGCATTTTTTATTCGCGAGTAAGTATAATTGCCGTGGAAGGAAATACACTGGAAAAATATCAGTTATGAGCGTCATTTCAGAAAAAGAGTGATGCTAAGGCATAAAGGTGTTTGGTAAGCCACTCATAGTATATTACATAGCAACAGCTGTTCTGTATAAGTACACATACTTAGTAATATTTGAAGGATAATACTTAGCATCATAAACTAAGTATTCTGTGATAGCATAACAAAGGGCACTTAAAGAAAAAGCACCTACCTACGCACAATCGTCCAATTTAATTTAAGTATAAGTAGTTACTGGTAGTATCAAATCATTTTGTAAATGTCTGAAGCACATTACCTACATACAACATTGATTAGACATAATATTGCGGTTAGAAAATACCTGGTGAATGGCATTTTTTATAACACATTGGCCGTACCAATCATTAATAGTGAGTCGCGTACGAATTGATGAGTACGAAAAAACATAATTTGCTACACACAGAAAAAGTAGGTATAATATCAAATGAATCTACCCGTACCAACCTTAAATAGAACTAAAAATTTGTCGATCAAATAATAACTGTACTTAATATCGCATTGCTGGAATTTCTGGATAATATGTTACAACGTAAATTAACGGCCTAAAGACCTTTTTACGCCAAAACTCGCGCGGGCGCACCCACGCGTTCCTGCCCGTATCAAACAATACTATGTAACTATGAGCAGGGTTCTGGTACACTTGCGCGGAAGACACTAGCGCGTAAGACATTTATTTGCCCTAAAGTGTCCATGCTTGCAGTGCAAATGGCTTTTCGCGAAAATGTCTTACGCGCAAATGTCCCGATACGTATGAGCAGCGCAGTGTGGCACGGACACGTGCGACGGATTTTCCTCGAGCGCGCATTTGCTTGCAATAATACGCGGGCGCAGGCGTTCACCCTCGCATTAGGTATAGCGTAAGCCTTATAGGCAGATTTTCCAGTCGATGAATGACAATCACAACTTATAAAATTTTCAATCCAATCCAATTTTTCCCTTGAAATCTATCAATAAATCTTTTAATAAATTTTTTCTTGTATTTTTACACCCTGCCGTATCTATTAACATTATCTAGCTTGGGACCTACTTTAGCAAATTCTGTCAATGCCATTCGTGAACTACGCTTAATTTATGCTCTAAAAGGTAAACTTCAATGACATCACTGTTCACAAATTGCATCTGTATACAAAAACAGAAATTAGAGTAGGATCACTATTTGCATAAAGGTAAACACGGTTGCATTTTATGTCGTCGTAATAAATGCTGTTTTACCTATAATTGAAAATGTTTTGAATAATGTGCAGTTGACTGTCTAGCCTGTCGTTGTGGATTGAAACATTCACATAGCTCGCCTTGTGTTTTTTTTTCAAAGAAGAGATATTTACAAATGAAATACTTATTGGTTTTCCCCACGATTTTCCTTAGTGAAGTCATTGCTGCACCTGTTATTTACTGGCTGCAATTTTCGAACTTTCAAAAACTACAGAGAATAATGAAAACAGTATTTTTCGTAATGTATCAGTAAAGTTACAAAACTGCTAGCTCACACTTTCTCCCACTTAACTATGTATTTGCTTAAGTGAAAGAAATACTTATGAACAACACTTTCTAGAGTATAGGTACATTCTTTTGCGTAGTACAGTTTGAGTACTTAAAAGGGAGTGGACATACCTACTGAATAGTATTTATATTGTGGTGGAAGGTAATATGGTAATAGTCAAGTAACCGAGATCTAAACCAGTTTGAGATACATTTATACAGGGTGAAAATCTATTATGATTTATTTAAAAAAAAACTGTTTTTTATTTATTAATAAATAGCGACCCGCCCCGGCTTTGCACTGTACTAAGTATACGTAAACCTTCCTCTTGAATCACTCTATCTGTTAAAAAACACATCAAAATCCGTTGCGTAGTTTTAAATATCTAAGCATACGAGTACACAGGGACAGACTACGGAAAACGACTTTGTTTTATACATTTAAATGATCAAACGANAACATACACAACATATTACAGTCGGAAAATCTTTGCGGTAGGTACCTCGGATTGTAGTTAGTTGGACAGTGGTCATTTGACGGCCACTTGAATCGTCTCACCCTTAAGCTTTTGGCTACCGCCGCGTTGATGCCTAATCTCGGAGGCACTGAGTCGCTGACTATACTTTTGCGTCGCGCGTTATATGGTCCTATATGGGGCTCGAGTATGGCACAGTGCTGTGTAGTCGTGAAGCATCCTACTGTTCAAAAAAGCGCAACGCATGATATCACTGAGGCACAGGCTGAGGTAATTCTTGGATACCGCATAGTATCCGCAGTCCGTCTATTCCCGGTTGTGGACACTGACTATGTCCCTACTGAGGATAAATGGGAAAAAAAAAATTGTCATTAGTGGCGACGTATAACAATAACAATCCTACTAATATTATAAATGCTAAAGTTTGGATGTCTGGATGTTTGTTACTCTTTCACTCAAAAACTACTGAACGGATTTTGTTGAAACTTTACAGTATTATTATTTATAAACCAAATTAACATAATTATAGGCTATAATTTATGACGATATGTGACAAACAAATTTCAATAAATAAATAAGATGTGTCTAAAAAGCGCAATCTATCGTCATTGGTTAAAATCTACAGCGCTGGACAAACTACTGTTTTTGACGTTCGTAAATATTCATGCGGGGGAAGCCGTGAAACGCCATCTATCAACATGATATCAAACAACAGATTTTACGAACTAAGGAGTAAAACGAGGTCCACGCGTACGAATTATTAATAAAATTAATAATATTTAATAACTTAACCTTAGCTAACTAATCTAATAAACGAAATCAACGAAATGCAAATTACACAACATTCAACTTAATCGACGGGGGGTCTAGAAAGGAAAAAAAATCTGGACACCGCGGCGCAGAAAATCGACGCTCAAAGTGCTAGCGCCATCTAGCGGTGAGCGGTACACGCGAACACCACGGTGCCGGTGTGGCACTAGTAGTATTGATATGAATGTGGTGTTACTCCAGATCTTCGATTTTCCTAGTTTTTATAGTTTTCCCTTTATGTAGTCATTAAACCCTAACTCTGTACCAAATTTCAGCTCTCTGAGTTAATGGGAAGTACTAGTTCTATTTTGATGATCATCAGTGAGTGAGTGAGTGAGTGAGTGTCATAAATGCGAAACTTTGCTTTCGCTTAACTTCGGAACTAAATGACCTAGAGACTTGAAATTTTGGATTTTAAGTATGTGATTATAGCTTATTAGATGACGAAAGTTTCTGCATTCTGGTCTTATCCAAAGGTTCTCAAATAGAGGCCTGAAAATGCGGCGAAATGGTTCCAGTAAAGGATGGTACGGCAGTGTTTGCTTCGCGCTCGACTTGGCGGGGGCACTGCCGTGCCCCCAGATCGGAAATGTAATATAAGATTTCAAGAATACGCGTGGACATGCGGTGCGAGGGAAAGGAATTGCATCATCCGATTACGCGGGGTCTCTATCGAATCGCCAATTTTTTTTTTGGCACACAAATTTTAAGCATACATTTTTTTTACACAAAATTATATTTATTACGCCACTTTTTTTTCTCCGAAACTTAAATAGCGCTCGGCGGCCGCTACCGCGGCAGCTGTGTATGTGTAAGGTCGCAAGTCTAACCTAACCTAACCGAGACTTTGTTATCCAGCTACAGGAGTACTAAAACATTCATGCCAATAAAATAGTTTAATAAAAGAGATGTTAAAATTAGGGATTTCCAATACTTCAGCGTAATATGCGTGATGCCGAAAGAAAAAACCGCGCTGGTGTCGCTTAGTTTTATACATTTCCTAATACAGTATTGGAATTCTATAAAATTCCTAGGAAAAGTATAAATTTCCTAGGATATGTGCGTATTAAAAAATCTCTGAAGCAATATTTTATACATTTCCTAAATAGCTTCGGAATTGTATACATTTCCTAGGAATAGTATACAATTCCTAGAATTCATACATTTCCTGCAACATATATAAAAGAAAGTCGTGTTAGTTACACCACTTATAACTCAAGAACGGCTGAACCGCTTTAGCTGAAAATTGTCAGGGAGGTAGTTT